AAAGGCTTTCAAAATCAATCAGATGTGAATCGTCACATGCGGATCCACACAGGAGAGAAACCATTTTCTTGTAAAACTTGTGGAAAAGGCTTTCAAAATCAATCAGATGTGAATCGTCACATGCGGATCCACACAGGAGAGAAACCATTTTCTTGTAAGACCTGTGGAAAAGGCTTTCAATATAAATCAGATATGAATCGTCACATGCGGATCCACACAGGAGAGAAACCATTTTCTTGTAAGACCTGTGGAAAAGGCTTTCAATATAAATCAGATATGAATCGTCACATGCGGATCCACACAGGAGAGAAACCATTTTCTTGTAAAATTTGTGGAAAATGTTTTAAACATCAATCTGATGTGAAAAATCACATGTGGATCCACACAGGAGAGAAACCATTTTCTTGTAAAAGTTGTGGAAAACGCTTTCATCGTCAATCGCATATAAAATATCACATGCTTATCCACACAGGAGAGAAACCTTTTTCCTGTAAAACTTGTGGAAAACGTTTTAGATATCAGTCATATATAAATCTTCACATGCGAATCCACACAGGAGAAAAACCATTTTCTTGTCAAATATGTGGAAAAAGTTTTAACGACAAAAAATATGTTAATTGTCACATGAAGATCCACACAGGAGAGAAGCCATTTTCTTGTAAAACATGTGGAAAATGTTTTAACCGAAATACTCACCTTACTCGTCACATGAAAGTTCACACAGGCTGAGCTGATGTTTTTCTGTCACAGGTGGAGAAAAGTTTCACCAAATGATCTAGAAGAGGTTTTGCAGCCAGGAGAAGAATAAAATATTCAGAATGTGGAGAAAAGTTTCATATTTAGATATAATTTCTATCGCATTGACAGGTCTAAGAAAGATGGTGTCACTTTTTCCTGTTAAATCAAATTGTAACACTTCAGTGKTTTGTCTGTCTAAATGCAATCAAATGTAATTTTGGGCCTTGAATGTGGAAAAAGCAAAGTCTCTGCCTATAACTGTTTTTGGGTGCTTAAGACCTCCTGCCACCAAAGAGTCATGGTCATCTTTAAATCATCTTTTGGCTAACTTAAATTATAATGAACTCTTATTTGTGGGAGACTTCCTTTGGGACTGGCTAAATGCAGTTTTGGATTAATTTAAATCTTTCTGTGACTCTATTAATCTTAGCCAGCTGATTAATTTACCCACAAGGCCAAATTTAAAATAATATAAATTCACCTGAATTGATCTGTCTTGTACACGCGTCTGAGGCGCATTTCTATATTTTGTCACTTCTGGCTTGCCGTATATTTACTTCGGGTTGACATTCAGTGCTAACATTACCTTTCGATAACAACTTCAGGGTTTCCCCTACATGTAATTGATCGTGGCGCACCGCCACGGCAAAGATCATAGCTGCCACACCTTCAGAATAAAGGTTTTTAAATTATTTTTTTAATAATAGGCTTATATTAGGCTAAAACAATGTAAAGCATATCATATATTTGCGCTCTTATACTAACCTTAATCAGACTTTGAAACCCTATTTAATCATCAACGAAAAGTTAAGATATACTTTATTTTGAAAAACCAAAACCACGGGTTCTTGTGGTGAAGCTACAGCATGTTTACCTTCTCAGTAATTACTCTGATACAGCAAGAATCACCAACACAGACCTGGTGTGACCGTGCCTGTTCTAAAAATAGCGCTAATCAGCAGCACAACTACTAGCTAACGTAACTAATGTAACGTCCCTCAACTTTTAAAAAAGTAACCAGAGTTGTTTTTGAACTAAAACACACCATAAATGCAGGCAGAATGATNTTATTCTGTTGGAATTGGAATTAGATTTTAAATGTAACTAACGACATAAATTGGTTAGATTAAATAAAATTGGCTTTTAATGCTGTTGTATAACACTACAATGTTTATATGAAGATCTCAAACTAAAAACCAACTTAAATTATGCATTAATTGCAGTTTGGAGACATTTTAAAATGTTTTTTTTTTTTTTCAGAACCACATCTGACACTTGCGACGGTTTGTGGGGGGGGGGGACAGCCGGGCGCCCAGTGGGGGTGTAGCGGTGCGCGACTGCTCTTCTGAATAAATGAAAACTATGTAACACAGTTGTTTACACTTAAATGGACTGAACTTATAGAGCGCTTTATCAAGTTCCTCCAGACCCCAAAGCGCTTTACACTTAGAGACATTCACCCATTCACACACTGATGATGGCAAACTACACTGYAGCCACAGTTTCCCTTGGGCGCACTGACAGAGGTGGTACACTTAAATTAAAAATATTTGACCAAATAAAACACGGAGCAGGACTAGAGAGAGATGAATGTGGKTTAGATTTTTATTTCTGTGTCTGTATACGACCCACAGGAGGTACGGCATTAACAGCAGTCGTCATTTCATTCCTTGGCTTTAGCAGGTCTGACGCTGCTAAAAATGACAGATTTTTTTTTTTCTGGATCTCAGAGAGCAGGCCTTCAATCTCCAAACTCGTAAAGTTCTTTTTTACTTTGTAATGTCATTTATGAATGGACACTTCCTGGTTTGTGGGGCAGGAAACGTAGCCTTATGTGGTATTTTTGGGGTGGTAGATTATGCTAATCTCTCCTCGTGCACCTGATACGCATTAATCATGTTTACGCAGCTCATTTACACACTTTTCCTGAACATAGAACAGTTCGTTGAATTTGACATGACGTTTGTGCGAACCCTTCATACAAACAAAAGTAAGAGAATTTTAGGATAAGAATAGAAACATGTTTTTGCATGTGGTCCATTGACCTATTTTGTCACATCTCTTATATGGGCGGTATGCACAGAGTTGTGTGATGTACTGTATTTCCTGTTGAAAACCTCTTTTTTGTTCCTGCTCTCGGAGGAGTAAGACTTTTTTTCCTTCTCTCTCTCTATCCAAACCCGAAAATTATGGTTTTATTTTATGGATTTGGTTAGCTGGTCTTTTAATAAATTTTTGGAAGAGTTTTCTTCCATGGAGGACATRTCAAAGGTTGGACCTCTGTTCTGGATGTATATTTGGATTCYGATCACTGGATACTACAGATTGGCTTGGTGGTCTCCTGGTGTTCTATTAAACAATGTCTGTGGCTATTCAGGCCATTTTCTGGCTGTCTGACCAATATGAAGGATTGCCGTTCTTTCAGCACTTGGACTTTAGCCTTGAGTGAGCTAGATTCGGTCTACAAGCGGTTCTCCTGAGGGTCGCGGGCCGGCTATGGTTCCTGGACTTTGCTGGCGAGATTGAATTAATTTTGGAGAAGCTGAGAGCTCGGTGGAATTGTCCACATTATTTGTCTGAATGGATTCGCCACCTTGAGATGTACCAGCGGACATTAAGGCAGGTGGAAAATTGTTATTGTCTGCCTGGCCAAAAACATTTTCTTCTGTTCCCAAACAACTGATTACAGATTGTCTCTCCCCACCCACGTTGACCTTGAGGCTGTGGATCTAATTTCTCCAGGATGTTTACATTGACTGTGGCTCCTCCCCCACCTCTCCCCTCTCTCACTCAGTTTAATCTGAGTTYCTGAAGGTCARTCTGGAGCTGGCAGAATGAACGATTCAACACCAATATTCTGAACTAATGGCTGAACTACGGGTTTTTCTTTTGGGAGGCTGGATTCTTCGGACTCTTTGCCTCTAAACTTACTTACTCCTCTGGCTAATAAATGTACTCTTGCTTGTAGAAGTTTTTTTTTTTATAAACACCATTGTGTATCATACTTCGTTGCTATAATATGATGTTTTGTCTTTTGTCCTCATCTGACCTGTTGTATTTCATTTTTCTTTAAAAGGGCTGATGACACGGTTTAACTTTATGTAATTTTTGGATTAAAAGTGTACATGTTAAAATAGATGGTTCTGTGAGTTTATAAGTCAAATAGGCATATTTTTGTGTAAATATCCAATGTTTTAAACAGCTCCACTGAGGAGTTGAATTAAACAGAGACGCCATGTTGTGACGTCAGCGGTGGAACGCTAAGCGCATAGCTAATATCAATAACAGCTGTACACTCACGGTGGAAGCGGTTGAACTGTGGTGGAATCATCAGCCTGTTCCAGCTCAGAGAAAAGTAGTGGTGCTGAGGAACAGGTGGTGGGTGGGAGGAGGGGGGTTACTGGTTCCAGCTGGCCGAGCGACTGAGCAGGAGTAACGGGKAGAGGCAGGACGCAGCAGAGGAAGACTCTCAGCCAGGAAACTGACTGGTATGTTTTTTTCACCTATATTACAACTAGTTGTWTACAAATATAATGTATCTGAAGTTAATTCAAATATATAATACACAAATAAAAATTCAAATATCTGCTTTATGTTGTGGTCAGAGAAGGAGATACTGACCCAACACCTTCACAACCCACAAGGGCCCATTTGATTAATTTTTAGGCTAATGAGAATAAAAATCAGATATCAAACATTGCCTTAAAATGGGATGATTTAAGCAGATGTACTAAATGAATTTGGATTGATAAAATGATTTGGGATTTTCTAACTGGATCTCTTCAACACATAAATAAATGTGAGATTACTGTCATTACTAA